AGAAAGTTTACTTATTTACATTTGTTTAACAAACTTTCATATAGGGTTTACTGTGTATTGGCACTGTTATAAACATTTTACATATGTTAAATAATTTAACTCTCATAAGAGTCCTCTGAGGGTACTTTTATTTTCCCTGTTTTACGGATGGAGACATTGAGGCACAGAGAAGTTAAGTAACTTGTCCAAGTACAAACAGCTAGTAAGTGGCAGAGCTGAGATTTGACCCCAGGCAGTCTAGCTCTAGAGTCTGTGTACATAGAATTATCATGTTACAGTGCACCAAAAAAGTCCACTCTTTTAAAGGAATCTCAATCCAAATTTAAAGATAACTTTAATAATATGAATTATCTCTCCTTCCCAGCTATCCAATAAAGCATCTATTTCATATATCTGGATTTTCAAGCTTCTAATATGTTTAATCTTATAATTGTGATGCTTTTTAAAAAATGTGGTAAAATATACATAATATGAAATTTACCATTTTAACCATTTTTAAGCGCACAGTTCAGTGGCATTAAAGCACATTCACATTTATTGTGCAACCATCACCACCCTCCATCTCCAGAATTTTTTTCATCTTGAAAAATGGAAACTGTATACTCATTAAATAATTAACTTCCCATTCTCTCCTCCCCGCAACCCCTGGCAACTACCGTCCTACTCTGTCTATAATTTGACTATTCTAGGTACCTCGTATCAGTGGAACAATACAATATTTGCCCTTTCGTGTCTGGCTTATTTCACTTAGCGTAATGTCTTCAATGTTCATCCATCTTGTAGCACATGTCAGAATTTCCTCCCTTTTTAAGGCTGAATAATATTCCATTGTATGTACATACCCCATTTTGTTTATCTTTTCATCTTTTGACGGACATTTGGGTTGTTTCCACCTTTGACTCTCATGAACAATGCTGCCATGAATATGGCTGTGCAAATATCTATTCGAGTCCCTGCTTTCAATTTTTTGTGAATATACCCAGAAGTGGAACTGCTGGATCACACGCAATTCTATGCTTAATTTTAATTGTGATTTTTTTTTTTTTAGCAGTTACAAAATCGTAAGATTCTATAAATATTGCAAGGGGAGAAATTTTTATAACCCCCTTCTGTGAATGGTGCTGAAAATCCCTTCCCTGAGTGTGTAAACTCAGCTGGTGATGCAATGGGAAAGTGGAACAGAAAATGTATTGAACTTTGCTGCAGATGGTGAATGGGGTGAGCCTGGCTGTCATTTTGCCAGAGCCAGAGACGCTGCCTTCCTCCACCATGAAAGCAAGGCTCTCCCCAGTCAGACTGAGGGCTCTGGGCCCTGGCTGAGGCCTGACTCTGGGGGATGCCACTGGCTAGGGACACTGAGTTCTGTTGCTCAGAGTGGCCTCCAGCTCTGTCTGCCCTCCCAGGCTGATGAGAAAGGGCGAGGGGAAGATTTCAGAGAAGACGGAGCACCTTTCTGTAATTTTGGATGATCCAGCAGCCAGAGGCCAGGGCAGGGGTCTGCCCATCAGTCCAACCCCACCCCACTGCACTTCTCAGAATCATCATTGACCCTAAAGACAGACTCACAAGGTGAATGGAGAACAAAGGGTGTAAACTCTTGCAGTTGGGAATGGCCCCAACACATCAGCCCAAGCCTGGAGGGTGAGGGCAGGGTGGGAATCAAAAAAGACCACTTGGAGTCAGGACATCTGGGGTCTTGACCAGCTCTGTCACCAACTGCCTGTACCATCTTTAGCAAAAACTTCACCTCTTGAGGCCTTAGTTTCCTTATCTGTAAAGTGAGGGAGCAGGAGCAGATGGTGACTAAGTCCCTTTTGGATTCAAAACTATCCTACATAGTTATTCTATGGGGCCTCCCATAGACCTCTGTCTTTGGCAAACTTTAAGAAGTTTAATCTCTTCAGGTTAATGGTGAGAGGGTGAGAGGGTGAGAGAAGACTTGCCAGCGGGGAGTGTCAGCCCAGAGCTTCCCCCCCTAGGGGAGCTGGAGGGTAACTGCAGAAACACCAGGAGAGGGAGTCTGTGTGGCCTGAGAAGAGGGTGTCTCAAATGCCAGGTTCTGCTTCTCTGTTCTCCCCTCATGGACTACATGATCCTAAGTGCCAGTGGTGATGGGGAGACAGATGTCCTGCGGTGTCTTTGTTCCTGGTCCCACTGAGCCCTCCCTCCCTGGGCCAGGAGCCAGACCTCACCCTAGAGCTGCCAGTCACCCACTATGTAGCTTGAACAAGTCACCTTACCTCTCTGAGCCTCACTCTACTCATCTGAAAATTGGGGGCAGTATTTCCCAGTCCTCGGGGTTGGGAAGTTCAGAGGAGACCGTGTATGCGAAAGCATTTTGTAAGCAGCACAGTTACCTGAGAGAGGTGTCTGGTCCAGACGATTAAAGTCCTTGACCTTCCTTCTGCTATCTGCGTGACGGCAGGTCAGGCTGAACTGTACACGTATGTTTTCTTCCCTTCCTTATCAGTGTTTTTCATAGCAAAGCCTAGAATGCTGGCCCAAGAATTTTGAACCTCCACTTGGTGCAGAGTTCAGGCAGGGTTGATGGAGGCCAAAGAGGTTGTTCAGAATCCACCCTGGGGGAGGACACATTTCCCAGACAAAGGCCCTCACCATGGGCCAGGCCCTGCTCAGCAGTGACAATATGGGGATGAGTTTTATGGTGTGGCAGGGGAGATGAGGTGGTAAACAAAGTCAACATGGGGTTTTGAGGGAGCACAGAGTCTGGTCACCTAACCTGATCTGTAGGTCATGGGATTCTAGGCAAGTAGGAAAAGACCAGACGCTTCCTGGGGAAGGCATCTGAGCCAAGTCTTAAGGGTAAGTAGGCTAAGGGAGGCAATTCCTGGCAGAGGGGACAGCTTGAACAAAGGCATGGAGGTGAGACGCCATAAGTAATATTGTAGAAATATAATTATACGCAAGTCATGGAGATGCAGAAAATGAGGCTGGGAAAATAAAGATGGACCAGATCTTTTAATGTGAACCACAACACTAATAATTTGTATATCATTGCTCTCACCTTAAATTAGGAAATAGAGGCTCAGAGAGGTTAAATAATACACCCAAGTCACACAGCCAGCAAGTGGCAGAGCTGGAGTCTATATGACTCTAGAGCATATGCTCCCCACCATTGGCTTAGAGAGGGAGAGGTCTGCCTTTGTGCAGAGGCCAGGAGGGGTCTGAATTGCCTGTTCTTGACTTCAACATTCCTCTTTAAAGCTCTCCTATCTGAGCTGAGGGCTTTCTGCAGCCTTCCGGTTTCAGGCTGGCAGCTTGCAGTCCCTCTCTGGTTATTTTCAGGTCTGCATGTGTCACAGAGAGGAAGGGGGCAACCACAGTGGGAACCACCTTCCAGCCCTGCTGCAACTCCATTTTAAATAGCAGGAGAGAGGGCTGATGGCCCAAAGGTCTACCCACCAACATGCGTTTCTGTCCCTGTCTGTGGATGTGACTGAAGCGAGCCCACCCAAACCAGCCTCCAACATGGGTGGATCAGTGCATGTGTCTGGGTCTGCCTGGTGCTGCTGACGGGTGGTTCTTACAGAATGATCCAGGTGCATGGGGTCCGAGGACTGCATTTTGGAAGCTCTGTCCCCCCTCATGCCCGGTTCTATTCGCTGGGGCTCTGTCAGGCCATGCCCATTCCAGCTGCCCCAGGAACCTCGATCTCGGTTAGGCTCAGCCTGAAAGCCCAAAGTGGAAAAACACATTCTAGTGAGCAGTTATTGGTCCAGAAGCTTCTCAGCCTAAACCTTATTTCAGCATTTTTCTTTCCTTCCAAATTCAGTGGAAAGGCCACCCTATCAGCTTCAGGCTGTGTGGGGAACCTTGGTCGGCCCCTCCAAGAAGTCCTTGTGATTGCTCCTGAAAGCCAAGTGCAAGTTTCTGTCTGTCAGGTCAGAAGGGCAGACATGCAGGTTCTGACATCTATTGAGCACCTGTGGCTCGGACTCTGTCAGGTGCTTGGGTGCCATTTCACAGAATCGTAATAACCCTGTCCAGTGTAGGCTTTCTTACCTCTATCTGACAGAGGAGGAAACTGGGACTCAGAGATTCTGCTTTTTTTTTTTTTTTTTTTTTTTAGACAGAGTCTCACTCTGTCGCCCTGGCTAGAGTGCCATGGCGTCAGCCTAGCTCACAGCAACCTCAAACTCCTGGGCTCAAGCCATCCTACTGCCTCCCAGCAGCTGGGACTACAGGCCTGTGCCACGGGCCCGTGTGGATACCCAGCTAGTTTTTCTATGTTTGGTAGAGACGGGGGTCTCGCTCTTGCTCAGGCTGGTCTCAAACTCCTGACCTTGAGCGATCCACCCGCCTCGGCCTCCCAGAGTGCTAGGATTACAGGCGTGAGCCACCGCGCCCATCCTGCGAGATTCTGAACAGAAGTCACAGACACAATAGGTGGCAGGTCTGGATGGGAACCCAGGTCTCCCTGACTCCAAAGTCCACAGCGGTTCCTTCCCTCTACTGCAGGCTGCGAGGAGCAGCTGTGCAGACAGAACGTGCAGTAGCGAGTTTCCCGACGCCCAAGCCTCACCCCAGACCGATGAAATCAGAACTCTGGGGGTTCCGACCTAGACATCGATGGTTTTTAGGGCTCCCCAGGTAACTGGGCTGCCAAGCACTGCCTAACTGTAACGGTAAGAAGCAGATCGCATCCTCCAGGGCCTTCCAGGTGTGCCTTTCACAGCGTAATCCTGTTCACGAAACCAAAACTGAGAACCGAGCCGGCGGTGGCTAATATCCCCCTCCCACATCAGCAGGACCGGGGCGGGGGGCGGGAGGCGGCGCCCAGGTAGGCTCGCGGGCCCCGGCCCTCCCCGCTCAGGTGCGGCGCTGCTGCAGGAAGCCACCCCCTCCGGCCTGCCGGCGAGTGGGGCTATTGCGCCATCCGCGCTGGCTTTCGTAACCGCACCCTGGGACAGCCAAGAGACGCTCCAGCGCGAGTTCCTCAAATGTTTTCCTGCGTTGCCAGGACCGTCTGCTGCTCTGAGTCATGTGCAAGTGGGAAGTCGCACTGACACCGAGCGGGGCCACAGGGAGCTGAGCCGAGAGCCGCGCCGAGCCGGGGGACTGACTCTCAGTGTGTGCAGGGCGCGGGACCCCGGGGACGGGGTCTTCCCTTAGGGCCGGAGCCCGCCCGCCGCCCCGCCCCTGCTGCCGGGGTCCCGCCCGCCCGCCGCGTTTCTGGGACCGTGGGGCGTTAGCTGAGGAGGAAGCATGCTGGCCGTCCACTGCGCGCTGCTGGCCGCCCTGCTCGCCGCGCCGGGGGCGGCGCTGGCCCAACCGGACTGCCCTGCGCTTGGTAAGGGCTTCGAGTGCACCTGGAGGGCCCGGGCAGCTCCCGGCTGTGGGGGGAAACCGCTGTGGCCGCCGCAGATGGCGGGGAGCCTGGAGCGGGGAAAGGAGGTGTGACCGCTCCTCTTTTCTGTGGCTAGCTTGCGTCCCCGCGGCACAAGGTGCCGGCCCAGGGCTGACCCAGCCGTGGGGACGCGGGCAGTCGCTCTTGCGCTCCTTGCTTTGTCCTGCACCCTTGGTCAGGGGCTCCCTGCGGTCAGTGTAGGACTTAGTGTGTTCTCGGAAACCGACTCTCGTGTGTCCTTCCCAGTGCCCCCATGAGGCTTTACGTAACTGGGTCCCGCGTTGCTCCAAGGGGAGATGCCCGAGAGGGCACGCCTTAGCAGGGCAGTGTTCCAGCTTGGGCCGGCCTTTGTACCAGCGCCTCTCTCCTCTCTCCGCTTTGGGGGGCCACCTCGCCTGGTTCTCCCCCTACCCCTGAGGGAGCGTGCGTGTATGACAGTGCCCTGACTGTGATGGGACTTGACATCATGGGCGCTGAGTCACAGATCTCCCGCTGCACGGACTCACTTCGGCAGGCAAGAGCTCTGATGAGCTGAGTGCCCCAGTCCTGGGAGTTTAAGTGGGGAGCCTGGGAAGGGATGAGGACTTCCAGGGGTTGGCACGCCCTGGACTCCCCTTGCAGAGGAGAGAAGGAGGGCGAGGAAGAGTGCAGGGGGCACTTGTTGCTCCTGTTGGCTGTCATCTGTGCCTGGCAGCCCGGCCTTCCTATGGGCTCTGGGGGCATGCCTGGCTGCATGCATGTCTCCTCTCTCCTCTGGAGGAGCTGGGGTTTATTTTAGGGTCTGAGTGCTTCTTTGAGGACACAGCAGAAGATGAAGGGGCAGCCAGCAGGCTTCTAGAACAGATGCCTGGGGAGACCAGACGCTCTGGCTTTCACTGCTAGACCACATTGCACTCTGGCCCTGGGTGAACACCTGATTTGATTTCTCCCTGTGGGGAGGTAACTTTCTACAGCTAGAGTCTGGGCTGGAGTGCCCACGGCTCTCTTGGCTTTCTGGATGGTTGTGGTCTTTTCCATTGGAAAAGAAAAGGAGAGGGATTCCTTTTTCAATATACATTTGTAACTCCTGCCAGCAGCAGCCATCGTTGATTGAGCACTCCCCGAGCCCCCACCGTGCTTTACACATGTTTTCTCATCCTCCACTGTATCTACATATAACTTTGCTCGAAAGAGGAGACTGAGGTTCAGAGAGGTTGGGACAGGAAGTTGTGAGGTCCCGCTGGTGGAGGCCCACCCCTCCCATGGCTCCGTGCTCCAGTGAGGCAGATCCCTGAGGCTCCCAAATGTAGAACTAGACCAGCAGGCAGAGCTGGGGCTGTTTGGGGCCTCATCTGGCTGAATGCTGGGGCAGAAGGGGCTGAGGGAGGGGAAGTGGAGGCCCAGGCCTGCCCATGGTAGTGTCAGAAGGATGGCAGGCAGGTTTGAGGCCTTGGTTGGTGCTCCCTTGCCGGCCTCTGTCGCTGTTCACACCATGCCTCAGGGCTCCTGCCCCGGGGAGGTTACTGCTGTAGCTGCCACCTCCTTTTCCTCCTGAGTGATTGCGAGACACTTCGAAGGCAGCCAGTTGCAGTCAGTTCTCCGTTTCCCTGGTGCTCAGGAAGGATGGGCAAGGTGGTCCCGTGGCCCGGACAGCCTGTGAAAGGCAGAACTGAGAGTTTGGGGAGGAAGTGAAAGCCCTCCCAGCTCAGAAGGAAAACGCAGAGAAGTAGAAATACCCAGCTTCTCTCCCACACCCACTCAGACTCAGCTCATAAACTGGAGAGTAAAAATAAAGAAATCGTACAGGAAGCATGGAGCAAATGACTGCGACATGTTTCGTTTTAGAGAAGTGAGGAGCAGAGGGGGTAGCAGAGGCTGGAGCTGGCTGAGAGGGGAAATCCGTGGGCTCGTGGGTTGTGGGGGTCTCGTAGCTGGAGGCGTGGCTTCCATCAGTCGCTGCCCACGTGTCCAGGAGCTGCCAGGACTCCTCAGGTGTGCCCGCTGGCTAGAGGCCTGGACTAGCTCTAGGTGCTGGGCGTGGAAGCCTTGAGCTTGGGTGACTCAAGTTCCTTCTTACTTCTGCAATACAAGAAAATACACAAAACAAGTATGTACGCCTTTAAGTATCTCAAAGTCCTGTCTCAACTTATGAATTTCCCTCTAGGGCAACCTCTTTCTGCCTCTAACACCTATATGCATTCCTAGCCTCACCCCAAATCAGCCTTTCTCAGAAGGATAGTTCTGAGTCTAGCATCAGATTTGGCATATTTTTTGTGTTTGGGGGAGAGCTCGATAAAAAATACTGGTTCTCGGTCTCTACCCCAGGTTTATTAAATAGGAATATTGAGTAGTGGGGCCTGGGGAGATGTCTTTTTTGACAAACTGTCCCTTGTGATTCGTAGGCACTGTCAGGTCAGAGGACCTGTGCCTAATTGGTGCGATTGAGGAACTGAATGAAGGCCCTCCCCCATAGGGCTCTCGGTCGCCAGAGATCTCTCCTCGCTTTGGCTCTGCGTCTTGTTTATTCATTGCAGCAAACATTTGTTAAGTCTGTGTAAAGCCTATGAGGTCTGCGTGGCATCAGCCACACAGACTCCACCCTAAAAAGAGCCTGAAAATGATCAAGTGTAAATCCTGAGAAGGACCAAGAAAACCCAGACTCTGATCTGGCCCAGCGACCCAGGGACAAATTGTCGGGGCTGGGAGATGTGGTCAGAGAGAGGAAGCTCCTTTATTGAGGACCAAGATCCCGGGGCACACTAATTCTAACTACATTACTTCATCTGGGACCCTCAGCAAACCGGGGGAACAAGTGCTCCACTCGCTGGGTGTTTGTAAGGATCACACAAAGTAACCTCACTGCCCACTGCTGTAAATAGGCACCCCTTCCCTCCTGTCCCCCATTCCCGTCCCACCAGGCCTGTGTGCCACAGACCTAACAGTGAGAGCATTCCCAGTCACTGAATGTAATCTAAGTCTAAAGCTGTGCTCTCCAATATGGTAGCCATTGGCCATGTGTGACTATTTAAATGTAAATTAATTACGATTAAATCAAATTAAAAATTTAGTTCCTTAGTTGCCCTAATCACATTTCAAGTGCCTCACAGCCACCCATGGCTAGAGGCTGCTGTTCTGGACGTTGCAGACACAGAGCATTTCCATCCTCGCAGACGGCCCTACTGGATAGCGCAGGGCTGGAACGCTCACCGGTTTCTTCAGAGGTTTTCTGTCGCCCCTTCCTTTGTTCCTCCCCACTTCTGCTTCCCCTGCACACAGCTTATTCTGTGCAGGAGACAGCTAAGGCTTCGGAGCCAGACGATCTCTGTCCCACCCTGCCATGTAAAGTGATGTGACCTTGGGCAAGTGGTTTAATTTTTCTGACACTCAGTGTTAGTGTTCTAGAAAATATAAATAATTATACTACCTCACAGGGTGGTTATGAAGATTAAAGGAACTAAGTAGGATATTAAACAGAGTGTTTAGAAAAGTCCCTAGCGTAGAACAAGCTTAAATAAGTGTGGCTAATCGTTCATTCATTCCAGAAATATATTTTGAGCGCCTGCTCTGTTCCAGGTGCTATTCTGACGGCTGGAGATAAAACAGTGAACAACACAGACAGAAACCCCTGGCTTATTTGAGCTTCCTTCTAGTGGGGGAGACAATTAAGAGGATGTAAATTAAATATGTGGCACCCTAGCTACTAGTGCTAAGGAGGGAAAAGGAAGCAGGGGAGGGAGACAGGCATCGTGCGTGTTTGCTGGGGGTGAGAGTGGCAGGGGGAATTGGTATTTTAGACGGGAGGCCAGGGAAGGCCTCGCTGAGAAGGTAATACTAGAACAAAGGCCTGAAGGAAATATAAAAGTATTTAAGGATTCCCTGTACTTCCATCTTGGGCAGGAAAATCCTGGCCTCCTCTTTGACAGTCTGTACTACCTGAGGGTCTGTTATGTCCTGGAGCAGAGGGCTCTGTGGGGACACATGGATGTCCCCTGCCCTGGAGAAGTTTGGGGTGTCTCTGGGGAGACAAGTCCCCAGCCTTGCAGCCCTTTGGACTCCAGCTGAACAGAGAAGTACTAAATGTCATGTCATTACTGCAAGTGAGACCCCTGAGGGCCAGAGTGGCAAGGGGAAGCTGGCAGGGAAACCCTCAGAGCCTGCGGGGTTTCTTTCGGGAGTTAATCTGTGTGCTTTATCGTCTCCTCTCGCCTTGAGATCTGAAGAGGTCGAAAGTCTCCGACACAGTCAGAGGCTTTTCTGCCACTGGGTTCAGGCCTGACTTTAGCTGACCCTCAGGAGCCTCCCCCCACTCCCTGGCGTCCCTTGCCAGCTCTACCTGGTGGCTTCTGCCCTTAGCAGTGTGCCCCCAAGACCTTGCATCCGGGCTGTCCCCTCAGCGCCTGTTCTCTGAACCAGTTCCCACTCCGCTTCCCAACCTCCTTTCCCAAAAAGCGTCCTTTGGTCTTCCCTCTCTCTACGATGGTATGAGAAGTGCTACCATTTAGTGAGTGTCTGTCAACTGCGTACAAGTAACTGTGCTGGGTCCTCGGCATCTGTGATCTCATTGACTCCTCACATCTTTAGGTGAGAGGAGTGCTGGCCTCGTTGCCTGGATGGGGGGCTGCAGGACAGGATCAGAGCTCAGTTTTGCACACGTGGAAGCTGAGATGTCTACTAGACAACCAAGCCAGGATGCTGAGAAAGAGCTGGATGCAGGAGTCGGGTTTGGGAATGATGACCGAGCTTGACATATGAATTTGGGAGTCATCTGCAGGTAGAAATGATTTCAAGCCTTGAGACTGGCTGAATCATCTTGGGTGAGAATGTGGACTGAGAAGAGGCCCAGGGGCTTGAGCCTTGGGGCACGTCAGCCTTCTGAAACTGTAGGAGGGACCAGCGAGGGAGACTGAGAATGCGAGGTTAGTGAAGTAGCAGAAAAATCAGGAGAGTTGGAGTCCTGAAAACTA